ATTCTCCCCCCACAGAGCCCCAAAGGCCACATTTTCCCCTCAGAGCCCCGAAGGCCCCGCATTCCCCCCCCCTCCCGCTCTCACTGCGTGGCGGCGCAGCGGGACATGCTGAGGCGGAGGCTGTGACAGTCCGTCTGCCACGAAGTCGGGCTGGCGGCCACGCAGCGCCCGTACTGCTCCATCTCGTTGCGGCAGTACCGCGCCGTGATCTCCAGGGCCGCCTGCCTGAGAAACGACACCGAATGAGCGCGGCCCGGCCCAGCCCGCTTCCCCCCTCCATGCCCCCTACTCACATCGCTCCGCCGCCCCTCTGCGCATGCGCGGCCGCCAGTATCACCGCACTACACATGCGCGGACCTTGCACAACGCATGCGCAACCGCTGGCACCGTGGCACAGCACATGCGCGGCTTCCCACATCGCCTCACTACGCATGCGCAACCGCTGGCACCGCATGCGCAAAAGCCATCACTACGGCACCGCGCATGCGCTCCTTCCCGCATGTCCTCACTACGCATGTGCAAAAACGAAAGCGGCATTGCACTGCGCATGCGCGGTATCTCGCATCGCCGTACTACGCGTGCGCAAAACTCCCGAGCGCTCACGCGGCTTTATTTTGCGCACGCGCAGTCTTTGCTCTCTCTCCCCTCCCCCCCCAGTCTCGCGCTCTCGCGTACCCTACTGCGCAAGCGCGGCTTCTCCCTACCGGAAGCGGAAGTGCGCCGTCTGCAGGCGGTCCCTGGGAAGATGGCGGCGGCCGGTCCGGCTCCGGGCCCCGCGGACGAGCTGGTCTCGTCGGTGACGCTGTACCGCCGGCGGCCGCGGCTCCTCCACGGCACCGTGCTGCCCTTCGTGGCGGGGCTCTACCCGGCCTGGTTGTGGCTGTGGGGGCCGCGGGTGTGGGCAGCGTGGGGGGAAGCGGCGGCGGCGGCGGAGGAGGAAGCGCAGGGCCCGGGCCCGGCTCCCCCTGAGGCCGCGCTGTTGGCGTTGGCCGCTATCGGTGTCCTTCATCTGCTGACGGCGCTGTCGGGGCTGTGGTCGGTGCACGCGCATTGCGCGCTCACGTGCGTTCGGGTGAGTT